TTTTATTAGTGAAAATATCATATTAAATTTGATTGATATTGCATAACTGTCTTAATTAGTCACTTTTAAATATGTTAATGGTGACCTAAGAGACTAAAACAAGATTTTTGATAATTATAGGAACTAAAAACAATAATTTTAAATTTGAGAGACCAAAAACAAATTTATCTTAAATTTAAAGGACTAAAAACATATTTAAGCCTTTTTTTATATTATCAAAAATACTCAATTCTCCATTATAGTTTAGTTGTAACTTTTCATCTCCTTTTATCGGTTAAAATCTTTAATTATTAACTACAACTTCCAAGTGACAGAAATATAGAAACTTAAAAAAGTTAAAGGTTCCACTAAAACCTTTGTACTGCATTCTTTCCTGTTACACTAAAACCTTCGAATAAATTTAATGAATTCTTTCCAATCTTGTTTAGATTTATCGTAGATTTTTGATAGTTTAGAGTTTAGGGTTTAATTACTCAACTAGGTCTTGAAAAGAAGGCCTACGTATGCTACTAATATTTGCTACTTAAATCTTTTCTTGTATATTTGTGATTTATTTTATTTTTAAAAATTATTTATATAATTAAAATTTAATAATGCAACCCATTTTTTATTTTCCTTTTTTATTCTTGATTACATAGTGTCATTTATTATTATTATTATTATTATTATTATTATTATTATTATTATTATAAATAATAATTTATGATAATTTATATTATTAATAATTATTATTATTGTAACGGTAATTATTATTATAAATAATAATTTTTATTATTCACTAATTTAAATTAAAAATCGAGTCTTATTTTATATTTTACTCAAAGTATAAAGAATGGTAATCAAATTTGGAGTGATATCCTCGATAGTGTTAGTAATATAAAGGAGGTTCACGTCGTAAAATATGAAATTTGTCAAATTAGTACAATTTTTGGTATTTTACTAGTTTTTTAAATATTAAAATTACACATATAATTTAATGTTAAATTTAAAATAAAATAAAATTAAAATATATTTATACAAATATTATAGACGTGTTAAGAAAATTGATAGCGGTCATGATTTAATGATTTTATTTATTTATTCGATTGCTTTACCTTTTAGTATACAATTATTTATTAAATGTCAACATTAGATTACTTTATTTTTTAACGTAATTTTACAATAATTTTTATTTATTTAAAGTTTATGGTGTTTTAATTTAGCTATTGGAATTAGAAAACACGTGAATAAGTATTCAACTTCAACTTGTACTTCCAGATTCTATTGTATTTTTTCTGTTAAATTACTATTTAATTATCTTTTATAGTATGCTTCCTAAAATATATCTATCTAGAAGGGAAAAAAAGGAAAAGGAAAAAAAATGAGAGGAAGAGTTAATAAAATCACTACAAAAAAGTTTTTGATAAATTTATTTATAAAGCGGTAATTTTTCGTGAAAATCCTAATCAATCAAATATTTTGTATAATGAAAACAATGAAAATGAAATTAATGATTTAAATAAACCTAATGATGTACCAAATGAATCTAATATTGAAAATATTGAAAATGAAGAACAATTAATTTCTCCTTTATATGTTTATGATCCTAGAAATTGGGTAATCTTGACAACAAAGTAAGGGACATTTTAGTTGAAAAATGACCTATAAGAGAAATGGATCTTGTTTTTCCTTTAGATAACACTTCTAGGCATTTTTCATATGCTTATTATTCTAGAAAGTAATGGTGAAACTAGTGATAAAAAATAGTTAGTTTATTTCAAACATGTTGACAATGTATATTTTTTTTGTTGTAAGTTGTTCAAATCTAATAATAAAAGGGGTTCATTAGCAAATGTAGGCTTTAGAGATTGAAAGCATATTAGTGAGAAACTTAAACAACATGAGAATAGTTTTGAGCATATGACTAACATGAATACCTAGAATGAAATGAGAGTAAGATTGGACAAAAATCAAACAATTGATAAAAATTTACAACAAGAGGTTGACAAAGAGAAAGAACATTGGAGAGAAGTTTTACTTATAATATTATCTGTTGTTAAATATTTTGCTTAACATAATTTGGCTTTTTGAGGATCCAATGAAAAATTATATCAAGATAGCAATAGTAATTTTTTGGTGATTGATTGAATTGATTGTAAAATTTGATTTCATAATGCAAGATCTTGTTAAATGTATTCAAAATCATGAAATTCATTATTATTATTATTATTATCATTATGTTCATATAAATTATTAAAGAAGTAAAATATTTTTTTATAATTCTCAATTGTACTTCTGGTGTAAGTCATCAAGAACAAATGACTCTAATAGTATGATGTGTAAATATGTCAAATAATAAAATAAAAATTGAGGAGTAATCTTTAGAGTTTTAAAAGTAGATGACACATATGAATTAAGACTTTTTAATGAATTGTAAAATGTGTTAAAGTCTCTTGATCTTAATATGGATGATGTGAAGGATTAGGGTGATGATAATGGTTCTAATATGAAAGGAAAGCACCAAGGAATTCACAGGAAGTTTCTTGAAATAAATCCAAAGTATTGTATATGTCTTGTGCTTGTCATAATCTCAATCCTACTCTAAGTGGTATGACACATTCTTGTGTTAAGGTTGTTTCCTTTTTTGGAGTTGTTCAACGCATATATTCATTATTGTTGAGTTCTACAAAAGGATCAAAATTTTGCTTGATATTATTCCTAGGTTAATTGTGAAATTTTGCCTAATACTAGGTGGGAAAGTCAAATTAAAAGTACTAAAGTTATTAGATTTCAGGATCCCTAGATAAGATTAGCTTTATTTAAATTACATAAATATTGTGATGATGCCAAATCAAAAAGTGAAGTGAATGTTTGGCTAATGTACTTGATAATTTTAAATTTTTGCTTGATATGATTATTTGGTACGACATTTTATTAGCTATTAATGTGGTGAACAAGAAAATACAATTTAAGTCTATGTGCATTGACACTACCATAAAACAATTAGAAAATATATTATTTTTAAAAAGTATAGAGATAAGGCTTCACATCTAGTAAGAACATTGCTAAAAATGTCACACTTGAGATGAATTTAGAGTTTATCCTTCCAACACAACGTCATATGATGAAGAAATTCAGTCAAATAATGAGTCATTTAAAGTTAATTATTTTTAATTGTTGTGAACATAACTAATACTTCTTTAAAGAAAACATTTGAGCAATAAAAAATATTTAAAAGTATTTTTGAGATTTTGCTTAATTCCAAAAAATTAAAATCATTAAATGATTATGAAATGAAAGAATGTTGTGTTAAAGTTCACTCTACCTTTTTTTTATAACAATTTATTAAATGTGATTAGATTATTTTTTTCTTTGAATTGAAAGTGTTGAAAATAACTTTGCCTAATAACTTGATGTCAACCATCAAAATTCTTAAGTTTATGGAAGTCGTATTTTATTAATCATATTTGAGATTGTCACATCAATTGAAATAAATTTTTCAAAACTAACATTAATAAAAACTTACTTTAAGATCATTAATATCCTAAGAAAGATTGAATGATTTGACAATTTTATCTATTAGAAGGATATGCTAGAGAACATTGATATTGATGTTATCATTGATGATTTTACATCTAAAAATGCTAGAAGAAATTATTTTTATGATAACTTGTGTATTTTATTTTGTAGATGATGAACAACACGTCAATTTAAAAAAAAAAATATTTTATCGATGATAAAAGATAACATAGAATTTTAGTAAAGAAAAAATGTAATACATATTTTTAAATATTTGTTAAAATGTTGTTCGTATATATTATTAAAATTACATATTTATCTTTTTATATAATATTTAAATATTGAAATACTTACAAATAAACAACTCTTGTATATTATATCACACAGGGCCATAAAATATCGAGATCAACCTTGGTTAAACCAAAACAAAATTCAAAATAGAAAACTCGACCAATTGATCATAATGAAAGGCATGTCCATGCTTTTTGCCCTTGCTTCTTAAACCAAAAAAACTGTCAACAAACATGCAGTGTCATTCTAACTATAGAATTTCCTTACTCCCTGACACGTCCAATTTCTTACCATAACTTGTTTGTTTCTTCCACTCTCCAACCCTCTTCTCTTTCCTTCTCCATTTGCCTTAGTTATATGCCCATGCCTTCGGGAAGCAAAACACCACATCAAAATTACTCATCCCATTTCCTATGTTTTCAATGGACTCAGATTTTTCAATCGCTACACTAGTCATTTCGAATGGAATATGTCAATTAAAATCCATGAAAAGGGAACTAAATCAGAATTATCTTTCAAACCGAGGCTTAGATGTTTTAAAAAAAATGACAAATTGGTCCAGTTGGTAAACCTTAATTTAAAAAGGCACATCAAATTGTTGTTGATAATATAAACTAGTACAGTGAAAATCATTTTAAAATGATTCGTATACCTCAGGTGTTGCTCCATTTAGTTTTAGAAAAATGGTTAATTTGCACACCCGTGATATAGATACAATTCCATTTATTTGCATATGAAACTAAGTTGCAAAACATTTCCTTCACAAGAGTACAGGATTTGAAGCAAATATTCCTCAACCGACACGTTTATTTTCCCCGTAAAAATGAAATTTATATTTATGACCTCACGCGAACTAGCAAGTCCCTCACCACTAGCCTTACTCCATGAGTTCTACCCAAAATTCATTATTTTTAGGTATCACAATATATATATAATGAAAGAAAGTATACTCCCTCGGTAAAAACATACTATACATAAAAATAGACAAGCAGAAAGTAGGCCTTGAGAGGTAAAAATAAATGATAAACATACGAGCACCCATGTCTGGAAACCAATTTCAATTGAAGTTTGGAACAAATCACGTTCACCAAACAAAAGCTGATGTAGACAAGACAGATGAGCTTCAAGAATATACAAAAGAGAAAACCTCTACTAACAGGCAATGATTTTAATAGAAGCAAAAATAAGCACAACCAAAAGAACGTGCAAGCTATAAATTTCAAGGCACACGAGTATATTGTTGCCATTTATTAGAAAATGCCCGAGGCAAGTTTATACCATTAAAAAATGCATTTCATATAAGTTCATAACAAAGAAGCCGTCCATCTTTTCTTCTCGAAAGCAAACATCCTACGACAACATCAATACAATTTAAACGTCCCACTCCGATCAAAATACCTTCATGCAATACATAATTTGCTCTCAAGGAATGGATCGTTGGTATAGGGGCAAACCTCCCAATGCTTCACGTTCTGCTCTCTCCCTCTTCACCTGCAAATCATGAGTAACCATGAGTAACCAAACATTTAGTAACAATTTTAACAGCTATTTGGTTGTTGATTTTCCATATTTAAGGATTAACGGTTTAACACTCTGCAAAGCATCTACTAAAAGGGAAATTCTTTTGTATTCTGAAAGTAACATTCATCCAGTCAAAAAATGCAAGTTGCATTAATAATAGATTGATGTTATAATTCTGAAAGTCATGAATTAGCAGTCACCAAATATCAAGTAGATATCCAGTAGGCATACAGCTCACAGCTAACAAACTCGTGTTTCATAATTGTAGCCAATTCAATATCACAAATCAAGAATTATATGAACCGTTCTACCCTCCCCCTCTCTTGACCCCCAAAAAATAGATAATAAATAAACAAATAAAAACTTTTCACTTTTGTTCTATTTTATCAATTATCATCGTTCTCAAAACAGTGTTGCAAAAGTAATTTTTGCATTACTGTTGCCCAAATATAATTCTGAAAGTAAAACGCACTTTTATACCCATGTATCCAAACAAACCAATAAATTGCTGTTGCAAGCATGGAGGGAAAAGCTATTCTAAGCTAAAGCAAGATTCCCAGATACTGCAAAATATCCATGACCCCATCTATTCCAGCAAGTGGGCAGTTGCAAAAACAAAGCTACAGAAATGAAGTGAAATACAGGAAGAATTTAATTATTTCTTCTTGAAATATATAATACAAGTAAATCATCAAATACGCTAATATATATGTTGAAATGATTGAGTTCAATCCACAACAAGAGCACTAGCAATCTACACAATGAATCTAAGTATACTATTCACATTGTAACCTCAGAACAGGGATTTAAGGAAAGGCATGGAGAATCAAGAAGGATGCAATCAGCCTCCTTGGTAATGAAACACCCACCAAAACACATTTAATTGTATTTATATATATCATTATCACAATAGCACTTACAAGAGCCAGCATTTCCTGAAGGTAGCCCCTGAATGGTGTTTGCATTGCCTGTCATAAAGGCAAAATCAAAAAAATATAAGAACTAAAAAAACAGCATTGATACTCAAAAGATCAAACACATACTGCCCTTCATATAAGCACACACCCCAAACATGGACATCTCTCATACAGAGTACATTCTAAGAAACAAACACCATAAACATTGAATCAGTGCATTCACCCGTACACAAAACTCGGATTGTCCCATCTTATCAAACATAGTTTCAACTCATGGCTAGGTCACAGAAACCAAACTTCTCAAAGCCCTCAAAATGAAGCGCACTTCCCATTACAAAGTAATATCTACACGAAAGTAAGCATCCCTACATTCCCGCATCCAGACCATTAATCATAAAGCAATAGATCCATACACATCCATCATCTCTTAAAACCAAACAAATTGGACACAGTCACATCTTACCATCTCAACACACCATATTTTACTTTTCATCCATCCATGCATCCTTCTTGTAACCAAAACTTAACAAAACAGTCAACATCAACGATAACAATACCATCGTAACCAATAGATTCACACAAACACACACACACACATCACCATCTATTAAAACCTAACCAACCACATAAACAATTACCAAAAAAAACAATAAAATGGACGAAAAACAATTAAAAAAAAAAAAAAAAAAAAAAAACCTGAAGATTATCAGGGAGGTACTCGTGCTTCATGGAAAGGTCAATAGCGCGTTTGAGACGCGCGTGGCGCGCGTCCACAACCTCCTTGGGAAGCCGATTCAGCGCCTCCTTCACATCGAGATCGTAGTAAGGATCGTACAAATCGTCGTATCGGAGCCCTAATTAACGAAAGCCACGAATTTTCAGAAACGAATAGAAAGTTAGGGTTTGGGAAATCGGAAAGGAAGAGAGAGAAAAAGGGAAGTGACCGTATTTGCGAAGGCGTTTGGAGAGGGATTTCATGTGCTGAGCGGCGAACCAGTTCTTCCTGGGATCGATAAACGATTGCAAAAACGACGCCATGGCTCTCTTCTGTTTCTCTCTCTCTCTCTGCGTTTTAGTTAAAAGAGTTTTCTCGAACAATCGCGGAAGAAGAGGAAGAATAAGTGCTTCTTATTTTACACCGCACCCCGTTCTTTGCGTGCGTTGTGGCTTCTTACTACCGAGCGACGTGTCGTTTATTTGCTTTTGACAACACTAGTGGCAGTGGGTTCCCCCAAGGGTTAATATTTATTTACCAATAGGAATAGAAGTTATTTCGTACTTCTCTATTTTTAAAATATAATAAAACAGATGGTAAATTAGAAGTGTATCCAGAGTTTTTGTGGGAAGTTGTGAAATAGGGAAGAAATTAAAAATGAATTTAACTCTTTTAAAATAATCATATGTACTTTAGATAATAAAATACACTTATAATTATTAATTATAAAAGTAATGATTAAGATTTGTAATAAAATTAAATTCTTGTAAAATAAAATAAAAAAATTAATTATAATATCAACGGTTAATTTCTTAATTAATAATTATTATTTCATTTTATTGCAATCCTCTCATTTTAGAAGAGGTAGATAAAAAATAATAATAATAAAAATTTGTGTATATGGAAAGGGAGTATTTCATTTATTATTAGTATAGATATTATTATTATTATTCATTTGCTTAAAAATATTTCGTATATCTTATATTTTATGTAAAAGTTAAATAAATAATAAAAATAATCGATGTTAAATACGTATGAGTGATTAATAATTAGAAGGTGAGTGGTTTTTAGTAAATATTTAAAAAATGAGGTGTTTGAAAAGTAAATTTAGGAAGAAAAAAATAAAAAGGGTCACATAATAATCGGATTAAAATTATAGTTTCAAAATTTAAAAAGATGAAAAATAAAGAAAAAAATTTATAAGGGCCAAAACAAAAAAACTAAAAATATATTTAAATTTATTTTAATTAGAAAAAAATGTCATTAATTTATATTATAAGCTCAATTAAATAAATTAATTAAATTTATATTATAAATATTATTAAAAATAACTTATTTTATTTATTTCTCAAAAAAAAAATGTTATAACTAAATTAGTTAGTGAGTCATTTGACCCAACATGTTAATTGAACCTCATGAATCAATATTTGTTAAAGAAGTTAAATTTTATAAAGAAATTTTATACAAAAGTTAACATATCGTGAAATTTACTAAGTTGCTTTGTTGGTGTAGTGGTCTAATATGCAAAAGACTTGCAATAAAATTTTTGTGAGGGATTTTTTTTCTTTCAATTTTAATTATAGTTTATTATCCAACAAGGCATGAGTGCAAAAATGAATATCAACTCGAGAATAGATAAATCAGTCCAGTCTGAATCACTAAGTTATGTGAATTTGTAGCCAAGTTGATGACAGAAGCATAGTTTAATAACATCTCCTATAACACAACATGCTCGAACCAACTATATGAACGAGTTTTTATCTAATGAGTTGAATCGGTTGGTACAAGCTACATTTTCTTTTGTAACCATAGGATAGTTATAAAGTGTTATTACTAAAAGTAGTGCATAAGTTTTTTTTTAGTATTGTAAGCACTCACAAAGTGAATATCTCATTTTCAATATAGTTTATTTCATACTTTAAGTTAAGATTATAAGTCAAGTCTAATAATACAAATTAGATTTATTATTATACCACGTCAATCTCTTGTTATCGAATGATTCAAAACACATAGATTCTTCACACTTATGTGCTCGAGCCTAGAGAGTTGTGTACCGTGTCGGTTTCCTAGTGACCAAGTAACCCAATCATTTAGACTCTTCATGCCTTTACCACATGAACTTGGAGGATTGTGTATCATACCTATCTACTGTTGACCAAGTAAGTTGAGCAAGCCCTCCATTTGACGACCAACTGATTTGTCAAATATGTCTCGTAACAAGACTTAGTCTCTACCACAAGTAGCTGGGACAAGGCACCATGAATTACAAAATAAGCACGATAATAATCATAAATGCTAAAATTTATTACCTATTAATGACAATAATGGTACATTATTTGTGAGATCATAAAAAGAAATAAAGGGTTTATATATATGTAATATCACCCAAGTTTATATATAAGGACTCGTAAGTCTTAAAAAAGATCAAGTTTTATATTCATTGAATGTTCTAGACTAGATTGTTACTATATCTTCCTAAAAGAAATTTTATACTAGAACAATTATATAGTCACACTATCAATCAAAAGATAATATATATATATATATATATATATATAT